AAATATGACCGAATAAAGTCAACAAAGTGGCCTGATCAGAGACAGCAAGGGAAATGGACCAACAGATGGGGAGGTGTGAGTGAGTGGATGGGGGGGCCATGTGGGGTCTGGGGTCCTGGAGCTGAATGACATCAGTGAAGCGTTCCCGCAGACGGGCTCTGTTCAGCCCGGATTCCCGTCCGCTGCCCCGAGAGACCGGGAGCCCTGAATAGACGGCGAAGCAGCTGCCCAACGCCGCTCAATGGCGTGGCCCGCGCTGACAGGCCGTGGCAACCATCCACGGCGGGTTGGGGTACGGCTGGTGCTGGTGGCAAGGGGGGGTGGGTGACAATGGTCGCGCCATGGCCTGCCAGCGAACTCCCCCCACCATTGCTGAGGAATGCTGGGATTTGTCTGTGATCAATATAGCTCTACCTGAGTTTCCAGCGACTCAAGAACTTTGCTCTTCAGCGGGGTGACAAGACAGAGGGGATGTGCCAGGGATGCCGGCTGAAAAGGGGGACAACTGTCCCCTGTGGCGTCACAGTGAAGAGCAGGTCATTAAAAGTGCGTTAAGGCTAAACCTTCCTCACAGGTCCCGAGGCTCCGCCCCCTCCGCTAACGCAGTTGTAGAGTTTGGCATCTGACCTGCAAATGGGCTATTCAAATGCCACAAGAGGAAGGGCTGTTGGACCCTTGAATGACAACCTTAACCACAGCCACTTCAGTCAACACTGTGCCCAACTTTGCTTTTCAAGAGGACGGCAGAAATTGGCAAGGCAGTGGCACCAGGACCCCCGCTCCGGCCCTGGACTGGACCCCATCAACCACGCTACGAATTCAATGCATCTTGCCGGTCTTTTCTTAGCTGAAATCCTGTCTAGCTTTTGGGGGTGGGCTGGATAGGGCACAGCCTCTTAGCCCAATAAACGTGCTCGCACACTTCTTTAGAGAGACACATTTCAATACAGATAAGAGACCGAATTAAAAAAAGAAAGGAAAAAGAAATCTTTTGTTTTTTTTTTTTTTTAATCGGGGGTTTGTTTGGGCTCCAAAGTCTTCATCTCTGGCGCCAGGCGCCTCGTTTTTCCCTCCACAACGTGGGCGCACCGCCGTTGAAAAGCTTGGCGAACCAGAACATCAGCCAGCCTGGTTATTTGGGGCGTGGGGGGGGGGTGTGGGGGGAGGTGAGGAGGCGTGGGAGGGGCAATCAGGACAGGGTTAGAATTTCAAGCTGCTCGTCGCGGCAACTTGGAATTGGATTAGCGCTCATCACCTTCACGGGTCATGTTGCCACGGAGAGCCGCGCCTCAGAAACGCCAGAGAGAGATGACTACAAAAGGCGGGTGCGATCTGTGATTAGCTACACCGCCCCTAAGAGCCAGCTGGCTGAAACAGGCGACCTCGCGCCAGGAGGACAGAACAGGGGCAGGTTGCAAGAACATTGGACAAAACCAAAAGCAAGGACAGCAAGCATCAGACATGCCACAAAGCTGGGCTATTTTACTTCACTGGTAATAATGCACAGGTCACCTGACTTGTCATAGCCACGCCCCCCTTCTCATACTCATGAAAATAAATGACCTCTTAACTAAATCTCAACGTACTTTCAATGTGAGATTGTATTATAGATTGAACATTAATAATCCTCATCCACCATTTCCACATTCCTTCCGCATCCTGCCACTCTCCTGCTGGGGATTTATCTCCAACCATCACAGAGATCTACAGGTGATGCACCTTCCTCCAGGAAGTGTCTAACGATGTTTGTCTAACTAGTGTCAAAGCCGGCTCTAAACACAAAGAAAGGGGTTATGATTATTACAGATACTCTTTCTTCTCTTTAAGGGAGGATTCTGCCATAACTGATTTTAACACAATTAAAAATCCTGAATCCACCCACACGCTCAGTTTCCTTACTGTTCCTCGGCGAATGCGTCTCTGCTTACATTCCTGACCCACTAGGGAGTCTCTGCAAAAGATACTGTAGCTCTGTGTTTAACATACGCAAACGTGTTCCGTTTGCGAGAGTAATATAGCATCCAATTAAGGAGATATTCACAAAGTTTGTGGCGAAGGGCGAAGGCGGGGGGTGGGGGGGTGGCTACTGTTTAACCCGCTGCAGATGAGCCATAAGGAAACACGGTGCCGCTTCTCCCTGCTCCAGCGTCTGACGAATTAATGGAATTTCTCCTTCACAGCGCTGCTTAACAATGACTTCATGAGCCAAGATCTCCAGAGGTTGTACATGTGTAGACTGCATGCCCTGCTTCCCCCTACAGTCCTTAAACTTGCAGTTAGGGGAACCGGTGTCCCTGAATCATCCATACTGTATGAGTGAGTGTGTGTGTGTGTGTGTGTGAGTGAGTGAGTGTGCCCTGCGGTGGACTGGCATCTATCCAGGGGGTTCCCCCTGTTTCCTGGGATAGGGTCCACGTGAAAAGCGTCATAGAGGGATGGTTGAAAAAACTCACCTCTTCATATATGTAACCACGCACATGCATAAATAATAAATAAAAACAACAGGGAATCAAACACCCACAGCTGTGAAAATCCGCACAGCACACAGAACAGAGAATCATGGGAATTAAAAAAATATATATATTTCCTTATGGGCACCGTATTGGTTTATTATAGTTTACTGGAATATCCCAATTACTTAACCCTCCATTTTTATACACACAGTAAATATTTTAATTGTTTAAATTAAAATTAGTTATTAAAAAATGATTACGACAAACGAAGAGGGGTGATGAATATGAAGAGATGGGCAATAAAATATGGAGGGATGCAGGTACAAAGGGGTGGGTGATGAAGAGGGGGGGCTCAAACCGCAATGTTAAATTGATGGGAAAATAGGAACAAGAGGCCCACGACCCGGTACTGGGGCCTGAACCTGGCGGACGGGATGGATAATTAAAAGCATGTGGAGACGTGTAAATAATCAAGAACAAAAAGAGTGAATTTCGCCGCCGCTTAGCTGTCCTGAACTCAGCAAGCGCCGCGTTTCTGCAGCTGAAAGCACGACGCAAAAGGGGGGGGGGGGGCAGGTGGGGTGGGTGTAAAATTAATTTAATCCTGTTCATAAGCACCAAACAATGGGAAACAGGCCTTCACGCAGCTAAGACGCCACCATTAACGGTACCCCGATACATTTTGCACAGCCTGCTGTGAAAAGAGACGAAACCGGTCAGGGCCCATTAACGGGTAATTTTTCTGTAGTGTGCTGGGTGAGGTGGTCGGGTCAAGTCCAATTAACAGTGCGAGCATTACTTTAAAAAGGACATTACAGTCTGCATTGTTTGTGTCTGTGATCTGTCACCCCAGAGCAGCTTCCTGGACGCTCCAGGTTCCGGAACCTTTGCCAAATTCCTGCAGTTCCTGACAGCGAAGGGGACAGACTCCATCTGTGGGTTTTGCCATCGTGATGACATGTGTGAGTAGGGCACCCAGAGACCATTTTTTTGTCTATATGTTTTTGGACATGAGCTCCAAATGGTGCAAGGGTAACTCGATTACATAGAACTGTAGGAAAATAGCATGATTTAATAAGAATGGGAAGAATTAGTTAGAAGCCATTTTAATGGACTCTGTGTATGGGGGGGGTTAATTCTTTGTTTCTTCAAGGCCAGAATATGACCTCTGTCTTTCCTAATATCTGACACGGACATTACTTTGAGCATTTCGCACAATGCACATGGGCAAAAAGTACAACATTTGTCTGCAGAGGTCTGTTAACCATTAAGAAATTAGCAATTTTATAGTAATTATTTTTTTTTGTCAAGGTCACAAGTTGCAATTTATCTGTCACACCATTCAGTATGTGGTAATTAAATAGCATAATTACAGCTCTGGGTCCCCCCTCCCGCCGTCTTTAACAAAAAACAGATTTTTAAATCCACATTCTGAAATATATCAGAACAAATTCTAAATGCAGAAATATTTAATGGCACCAATAAATAAACAGCAGGCAAGGCGAGCCACGGCACGTCCGTGAGAGCTGCGCGTGACATCAGCGGGGTAATGAAGGTGTTCTGAGCTGTGATTGGCTGTCTTCCTGTCAATCACGCTCAGGTACGGCAAACAGCAGAGGAGCTCAGAACCCTCTTCCTGGGCCTCTAGCTGCACACCGCCAGCCAAGCCATGCTTGATTTGCCCCCCTCCAGGCAAGACCCTCCCCCAGCCCCAACCGAGATTACACGGTGCACCAAACCATCTGGCCACCATGGCCGCTATGGAAACCGGGCCGGTTCTGAGTAATAAGTGAGTGTTTGGAAAGAAAGGTCGACCACAGGTATGTGGCGTGTTAATGAGTGACAGACCCAAGGCAGCAGTATGGGAGGGGGGTAGAGGCTGCTCATCACACTGTGTTGGCTCACTGCAGCCAAGAACAACAGCTGGGGGGGCGGGTGTGGTCACTTATGGGGGGTTATTGTCCCGCACAGCTCAACGGGCAGGGTTCTTGCAATGGAAATTGGGGGTGGAGGCTGGGACATCTCCAGGCAGGGGGGTTCTCGTAAATATTTCCGGGCCTTGGTGCCGGTTCCAAGAGGGGGAGTCAGTCAGACCTACTACACGGAACAGAATCGCTTGGGTGGGGCTCTGGACTTGAAGACCTCCTGCGGAGTGTCAGAGCAGGACATTGCTGAGCTCTGGGACGGCTCCTGCGTTCAGTTTGTAACTGCATAACAGAGAGGGGAAATGTTTGCCTAAACCCCACTAACTCCTCCGTGACGCAATGCATGATGGGACACCTCCTCTACTGGTTCTGTTTAAGGAACACTTCTGCTGATTGAATCCCTTGGCCCTGGGGTTTGACGTGAACCCCCCCCCCCAGAGCAAACAAATCACGGGGGAAGCCAATTATACACACACAGATGCAGGGGATGCTGCACTGAGACTGAGCTGCAACCACGGGACAATGCAGAGTTCAAGGTGTGGCCGTCTCTCCACATGGAGAGGAAGCCATATTGCTCTCCCCTTGCACATACCCGTCAGAGCCATCTGAAAGCACTACATACCGTACATTTGTTGGGCTTCTCGCCAGAGTGGACGCGCATGTGGATGAGCAGCTTGTAGCGGGCGTTGAATGGCTTGAAGCGGCGAGGGCATCCCGCCCAAAAGCAGGTGAAGTCCTCTCCCTTACGCTGGTCCACGTGTTGTTTCTCGATGTGCCTCACCAGCTCCTCCCGCTGGTCGTACTCGGCGCTGCAGTCCGCCCAGCGGCAGCAGTGCCCCGTGCCCAAGTCCTCAGCTTCAGCCGCCTCCTCCTCCTCTAGCATGGGGCAGGGAGGGAGGGGGGGAAGATGGGAGCTCTGCCCTGGGGACAGGCAGATCAAGGGCAGCTGGGCATAGCCCAGGAGATCTGCCGGCAACTGCTGCACGTGCCGGTGGGAGTGGTATGGAGGCGGGGGCCCCTGAGGTGGGGGAGTGGCCTTTAGGGCAGCAAGATCCAGCTGCCCAGATGGAACAATGGCGCAGCTGTTGGGCAACTTGGGTTGGCATTTTGTCGAAGGCACCAGTGTGCCAACCTCCTGTGGTAAGACCTGGGGCTGGACCACCATGTTAGACAGAGGCGTGCTGCCCTCCGGGACGCCCTGCTCCTCAAGCTGTTGCATGCGGGCACATTCTGCCTCAGGGCAAAGCGGGAGAGGGCCAGGCATGGGGCTGGTGGAGCCGGGGTGCCCCAGGGTGACCTGGGGTATGCAGCTACCCCGGATGCCCAGAAAATGGCCATACACCTCAGACTGCAGCGGGGAGAGGCCAAGGTGAGACGAAGGGGAGCCGCGGGAGCCGTTAATGTAGGCCACTAGGGACGTGGGGGAGGTGCGGATGATGGAATTGAAGTCGATGCCCATGCCGTCAGACAGCGGCGACATGGACAGAGCCCTCTTCTTGGAGCGGGCAGAGTGGCGGGGGCTGGGGAACGGCGAACTGTCCCCCTTGAAGAGGTAGGCGGGCAAGGAGGTGGAGTTGGAGGTTGCAGCACTGCCGAGGGGCAGGCTTGGCAGGTCGGGGCCCTCGCCTCCGCACTGGGGGGGCTGGTGGGCAGCCAGGGGGGGCAGCACACGGTAGCCGAAGGGCCACTCCTGCCTGCTGCTCAGGGTAGACTGGCTCTCGGGCAGGCTGAGCGTGGTGGAGGCCAAGGAATCCCGGGACATCAGAGACCTGTGGGCCAGATAGAGGAGAGTAAGCGGAAGTCTGCATGTAAAACGTACGTATACAGGAGTTTCTTATATCACCTTCAACGTTATTTGTGCGCACACACACTCATTATCACGTCTGCCAAGTCAACAATTACCCGCTTTGCATACATGAAATAGGGTGACCAGATAATCTGTTTCGGCGAGGACACTTTGAGCTGCTTCAGTTTTTACAAACTACTTTACGGCTGTTGCGATCCCGCCGCATTGCGCAAAAATCGCTAGGCTTTAAATGACGCTGGCTTTTCGATACTATACGGACGCTATTTAACTTGCGCCCACAGTTTGGCAAGCAGATTAGTAGTTTGCCTAAAATATTAATTATTCATAATTCATGTCTTTGATCTGACTTTTATTGAAGTGTGTTAAAAGCAGAAGTGGAGATTTCGGGTCCAGAGAGAATAAATCCAGACCAAGATTTTGTTTCAACCAACCAGTTGAGTATAAAGAGACACAGTCACAGAGTACTCAACTGGTTGGTTGAAACAAAATCTCGATCTGGATTTGTACTCTCTGGATCTGGAATCTCCACATCTGGTTAAAAGTTGACCATGTTCAGCAATTGTGCCCAGTCCCTCCCCCAAGGGTCTAATGGTGGAGTGACTGATCTGCTGGGAATCAAACCAACAATTTTTCAGACACAGGAGTCTTAAACCTCTGAGTCATATACCTCTTCTGACTAAACAAAACATTATCAACATGCTCAAATGAAGTAATTGGACCATATTTTAAAAGCAATGATGTTATGCTCTGCTTACTCATCATCATGAGACCCCATCAGGCACCTTTAAGGCATAAAATACTCACTGCACATGCATTTCTGAAAAGTAAAATGTCACTGAAGTATGGAGAGTCCCAATTATAACAGATATCATACATAGTGTAACATAGTTGTGTTTGCACTTTATCTTTAGTGACATTATGTGTATGTTTGCTAAATGAAACAGTTCTTTAAAGGGAACTTTGTATTGTTTTTTGCATAATCTTTGGTTTCAGAACCATTTTAAATGTTCAGCAGGATACTATCATGTTACAATGAAAATAAGCACCACAGGATGCAGTGGGGCATGTTTCTGTTACCTTTGTGTTTGACAAATCATTTATTTGAAAAATAATTTTCAATAATAAATGTTTATAAATAGTTTGAAATAAGTAAATATTTTGAGGTTTCGTTCAGTGTTCAATTTATGGTTTTTTGAATTTAGATTCCTGGTTTAAAACTGAATTTGTGTTTTTACGGAGCCGGACTCAAGCTTGGACTTGACTGCCCAGCTCTCGTGATGGACTTGCTCTCGGCACCGACTGACCCCCATGGACTTAATCTTGACTCGGACTTGATTTGTTAAAGACACGGTCATAACTCGGACTTGGGTAAGATTCAAACAGAACACTGATAACAAGATTTACATGGAAGAAATACTACACTCAAAACAACAACATAGCTTATTCAAAAAAGTATAATTAAGATGCTAACGTGGCCAACATTGAGGATATAGCACATTAAAACAAAATGCTAATGGCTAACATGAAGGAGGAAATGCTAGGGTTCACTCCACTAATTTAAACCTAATGGTTTTATTCTCCACTGCACCCTAACGGGGACCAGCTTCGTCCACACTTGAATGCTCTTTGGATCCCATCCACTAACTCTTGAGATTTTTTACATTCCTCTAACATTGCAGAAATTTTTCCCCAGGGGAGGGAGTAAAGATTAACGTAAAACAAACACAATTCCTCTTGAGTTATGTAATTTGAACGGAAAATGGCTGAATCATTCGACAGACGCTTGAAATTACTCCTGAATGGAAAAACAAGAGTGATGTTTCATGAAGGCACCTGTCATTTATAAATCAGCCTTTTCAAGACCATTGAAGATGGTGGAGGTCACTAAGCACTTCAATTCCACTTGACTTCCAGGTTTAGCGTCACGGAGTATGAATAGATCTCTTTGTGGTGGTGATACTGGGAACAAAAACAACCTTTCTCTCATCCCAGCCGCTCTCACCAAAAAATGTAAGCTGGCAAAGTTATTTCCAGGTACAGTACCAAATATCTCACAATACTTTGCGTAAACAAATATCAAATAACGTTCTGCTGTCATGTATCCTAAAAAGCATTTGCAGGAGGCCCAAAATGTCATTGAAGTATGGAGAGTCCCAGTTATAAATGACTAAATGGTTTCTGTTTTTTCATTGCTTTCTAGAAAACGTACATAACTCTCCTGTTGAGTTGAGTTAGCATGTCTTATTAACTGTGATAAGTTTGGCTTTTTAAATTGGGTAACATTTTTCGTAAAACATAAACACACTTTGCCCCAAATCCAAGGCCTGATACAGATTTATTTAAATTTAAATATTGGATCGATGAGTCTGATTTCAGGCTGGAAACACTGCACAAAAGGACCTCGCACAGATGGATGGCACTGAGCAGATCAGAGCTGTTAGTTAAAACCAAGGTTACAGGACTAAGGTACCAGAATCGCTGCTGCATAATCTACTGTACCAGGGATTCTGGAACTCCAAATCCCAAAAGATAGAGATAGGAAGCATTTTTCCTGCAGTGGATGTGTTCTGCTGCATCAACAAAAGCTTGTTTGAATGGATAATGATGAGGTTGCACCGTTTACCTCTCAGATAAACTGCAAGCTCTGTTAACAGGTATAAATCATCCCTGCTCCTCAAACTTTTGACACTAGGTTGCTATGGTGCCCATGCTAACGCTAATGCATAGCATCCTGCTTGAGATATTTAAAGCCCCTAGCCATTTACTTTTAGAATGACTGCCTGGGGCGTGTGTGATTTTTTATTTTTTTTGTTGCCTAGCCGTTGCCTCAGTTTTCTCATACTGCTACCATACAACGTTAATGACTCTCCAGTCCATCGTTTCCCAATCCGGTCCTCAGAGAACCACAGCCGGTCCACGTTTTTGCTCCCTACCGAGAGATGGGAGGGAGCATAAACGTGGACTCTCTTTGAGTGCCCGAAGGACCGGATTGGGAAACAGAGCTCCAGTCTGTTGTAGGGTAGTCTGTTGGTAAGGATAGTTTGTCTTCCTGTGAGTTTGTTAGGTTGTTGTGACATGCATCCATTTTGGAAAGGGTGACATAAAAATTTATTAAAATGGTACCAAACCTACTCTCAGAAGAGTGTCTAAAAAGAGCAATTTTATAACAGGGGGTTTCTTGACTAATTCCACCTTGTGAAACTCAGTCAAAAGCAGGAGGAGGGGTTCAGGCCTCTAGAGGGTGCCGATGAAGGGAGGATAATGTTTCATTTGTTTGAAAAGTTTATGGAAACAAAAGTGATAAGTGGTGAAACTTGCTCCACCCCCCCGAGTAAAACTCCGTATTTCTCTGCTGTTGACAGCCATTGATAAATGTTGAATCCGTCCCACTGGTTTTTGTCTTTCAGTGAAGCAGTGGGGGTTAGCTAGATATAGAGGTAAGCATCACAGTGGTAAGACAACGCAGGCTGACCTGGCATCAGTGTAGGGCGGGGCCAGGCCGGCTGGATGGCAAGGTGGGGCTTGAGGACCCGGGGCACCGAACTGGGACAGAGGAGAGACCACCATGGGGCTGCTGGTCACCACCAGGTTGGTGGCTCCAAGTGACCCAGGTGTCAAGGAGCAGGTTCCAGAAACAGCATTCCCTGGGGAGATGGAGGACACCAGAGAGCGACCAACACTGAGCTTATTCCACTGTAGCCATTCATGCTAACTCAAGGGTACAGCATCAATCCCCCAGATCTGATATATAACAATGATACATTAGATTTGTACAACGCTTTTCAAAACCAAAAGACGATGACAATATTAAAAAAAAATAAAATACAGAGCAGGGCGAACTGGAAAGCTTTACAGAACGGAAAGGAATTGAGATGACATTTGAAGACTGGGAGAGAGGGAGAGTTACGCGTGTCACGGGGGAAGGGAGTCACAGAGACTAAGAGCCGCAAAAGAGGTCACCAAGGCTGTGGAGTTTGGAAGGAGGAACAGTGAGGATCTCAGAAGAGGAAGATCTAAGAGCATGAGAGGACTGATAGGGCAGGAGAAGATCAGAGAAGTAGTGGGAGCAAGATTACTGAGGGCTTTAGAGGTGAGAAGGAGAATTTCGATTCAATGCATCGGTATGCCTCCCCCCCCCCTGATTTGCGTCGGACTCATTCTCTATTAGGGTTGCAAAATTATAGAATTTTTCAGTTAATTCCCATATATTCCCGGTCATTCTCATGGAAAGTTTGTAACTTTGAGTATTTCCAAAATTCCGCAAATTAACTTCCCATCAAATGGAAAGTTTCTGGAAATGTACCACCCCTCTGTAGCCCTATTCTCTCTTAAGACAGCGCTAGACCCTTTCGATCATCTAAGTGGTGGAATGAGTGGAGGATACAACTAATCTACCAGCACCTTGGGACGATCATCTCCACAGCTCAACCTCAACAGTCGGACTTGACTGCTGTGAAGCGTACATGCTGCGCCAGAAGGACCATGCTCCCCTGAACACAATGAATTACAGCTCGACTCAGGGTCAAACTCGCACTATGACCCAAGCTCTTCGCTAACCATTCATTTCGTTCGTGGCATTTATGTGATCACAGCGACGCAGGTGAAAAAAATTAAATCTGGGCTTTGGAAGCCTGCTCTGACTTCCCAGCACCTGAGAAGAGCATAGTTCTGCTTTCTCCGTGAGAGAAACCTGGGTGTCCTCACATGCTCAGCCATGCTTTCTGCTCCACTAGCCACTAATCGCTGCTTTTCATTGCCCCTACTTTGCCTCCATGGTTTGTTTGGGGACAACTTTATGCCTGGTTAAATATCGATAAACACAGCAGAAGTACATAGGGACAAGCTTGAGTGGGTGTGGTCAGGAATGGGGGCGGGGCATGCAAATCAACCCCTCTGCAAGCCAGGGGGTCAGGGACGCAACAGGGATGTGCTGCCGCTGCATTTCTTTGGAAACTGAGGCCAAAAACATCACGTCAGGACCAAAACCATTCTTGGATGATTCAGTTCAGGAAGCATAATTGCAATGTGAATTTTTTTTTTTTAGAACTGCTGCTGCAGTTGAAAGTAGAGTTCATTTCTAACAGAACTAGACAAGGGGAAGGCAGGATGGTTTTGTTGGGATTTCCTCTTCTGATTTAACAGGGATTGGGAAGGAAAGGGGTCATGACATCATAACACAAAACACAGAGAGACACCAGGGAGGGAGAAAAGAAAACACCCGTTTCTATAAACCTTGGAATGAGACCGAGGCAACTGATCGATCCTCACAATTCAGGGCATCCTGTCTCTGCAGTTTGCCATGGCTTCTGCGTCTTCACGGTCAGCACCGAGCTTAAAGGGGTTTTTACGTTCCCTCTGAGGAATGGCACGCTGAGTCATTTCACATGAAGACAGAACTCAAAACGACCTTTTCATTCACCCAACGTGATCGATGAGGCAAAGAGCAACATCACACCAAGGTTTATACCCTCAACCCTGTTCGATAAATGGTTTGTCCATCAGCTTAAGGTGAAAATCCACAACCTCTGCCAATAACTTGGCACCAGTCTCATGTTTTCTTCAGATTGCAGGTTAGCGCTCATGTGAGTGGGATCCGCAGTACCTCCAGACAGGGCTGGGTGACTTCATTCTAGTACATTCCTGCCATAGCGAAGCCACAGCAGTGCTGTGGAGCTGGCGGGAGGGGGGTTCAGGTTCCGGCTGCTAAAGAAACTTGGTTCAGCATCTTATCACCACTCACATAAATCACCAAACCAAGAGTAAAATCAATTTTAAAGCTACATAAGTATTTAATTTACTTCTTCCCAACTAAGCTGCATGAGGTCACTATTTAGCCTGTTGCGCAACAAAGCCATGAACTCAGTGGTGACTCTGCTCCTCAGAAATAAAGCAAAAGTGAAGTGAAATCTGATTGGCCAGCCGTTGTCAAGGAAACAAGTCCCCAGGAGTGACCCAAAGAGTGAACGACTTGTTTTTTTTTCCTCAACAGTTTGAGATCCCTTGCAGTTAGTGATAAAATGGGCAGGAGTTCAGGCAGGATGACATCAATGCCGCATAATTAATTCCCATGATGCGCCACATGTTCATCATTGGGAACCTCCTGAAACCTTGACCAGCTTCCTGGGTGACCATTTCCAATCCTAGTGCACCTCCCCTCCAGCTGCAGGAGATTCAGACGTTCTCCATCCCATTTCCTAAAGCTTATATGTCCATAACACCATCTAGTGCCGCTCCACAATCTTCTCTGATCCATTTCGTCCTCGGCCTGCTTGGGCCGGCTGAATTCATGTCGTTAGCATTAATACTGAATCCTTGTCTTTTGGTGTAAACTTTAAGCTAACAAGATAACAATCATTTATCTGCCCGCCCACCCAGTTGTTGCAAAAGGCCACTCGCAGATGCAGACTCAACGTGGTTGGCTGCTAGGGTTTCCTGTGAGTCTCCATGCATGGCCTTAGCCTGCCTAAACCTCTATGACAGTGCTTTATTGATACGTCCCCTGCAGTTGCCTATTACAATAGCAACATTCGTTGAGTGGCTACTTTGAACTGTTATTATAGTCTTTTCATAGCTTAATTCTCACATGTGGTTCAGCAAAGCATATGGAGGTAATTTCAGGTCAATTATTGACTGTTTTCCATTTAGGTTTCCATGGCAACGGCAGACATACTCATACAGTACGCAATTCAATTTTCTACACAGTTAAAAGCATAATAAAGCATCCTGAACCAAAGGTGCTTTTTGGCAACATAACCTGCAAATGAGTTCTATTGAACGGCCTCATGAAGATACTTAACACAACGACACACAGATATTTTTGTCATTGGATGCTTATTGCTTCAGTTCATCCCAGCAGAGTAATGTTTTGGCAAAGCTGATAGGATCGGCTGATGCTTAGCAAGTGCTAGGGAAATAATCCCAGTTAAAGGTCATTTATGTTTTGCTGCCCCTCCCCATTCTCTCTACACCTGACCATAATTTCCAGTTCTGTCAATCTATGAAAATGCCCAGCATATCTTTCTGCTCTGTTGATAATTGGATTAAGGCCTGCTGACATTGTAAATGCAAAGAGGTAAACTTACATATGAACATATATAAGACATCATAGTCAATTTGTATCACAATGACTGACAGCTAAATACTAGCAAAATGGAATTATAATGTTTCACATTACATTTATCCAAAATCGAGTCTCGTCTAAAGTAATTTAGAATGTTACCCATCAGACAGGTATTTGATTACAGTTGTTTACGTTTTTTTTTTTTTTCAAATGTTCAGCAGCATAATCTTCATGAGATTTGAACCAGCAACCTTCTTGTTTCAGGGTTCTGAAGGGAAACGTACCTTTAACCCTTCCTTCAGAAAAGTTGGGCAGGAGGTCCTGGTTGGAGGAGGAGATGCTGGGGGAATGGAGATGGGCGGGGGCTTGTTGCCGGTGTGGCTGGGGTGTGCCGAGTCCGATCTGCTGTTTGCCCCCGGTCAGCGCCTGTCTCCGGAGGCTGAGCGCAGGCAGCAGCGTGGAGCTCTGTCTCTGTGAGTAGCCCCCGGAGCTGGTGTGGCTCACTGCAGGGCTGTGGAGGCCATGATGCCCAGGACTCCCAGCATGCACCCTGACGGGAGCCGTCTGGTGCCTGGCCATGGCGCCCATCGACCGGGGCACTGTGGTTGGGGAAACCACCAGGTTGCACACTTTCCCGTTCATCTCATCTGGGGAAGCACGGGCCGGTCCTGTGACGGTCTACCTGCGCCAGACCTTATGCCACCTATTCACACAGACAGGCACGGGTGCGGGGAAGTTAGCGTGTGCCCCGTGGAATCATGGGAAGGAGTCATTCAGCCAATGTGGGGTCATTCCAACTCCAGCCTGATTCACTGTTAATATAATCCCCAATCAGAGAGGCAGGGCTAGTAACAGGCATAGTATATTTACAGATAATCATTCCATCTCTCCCTTTTTGGTTTACAGCTATCCAATCACATTTAAAGGAAATAAATCCATCCAATTCATATTAATTCCTTATTCGCTTACTGATCCAGTACTGATCCAGGCTCCCAGGAAACACAGGCTAGAAAAAAACGGTTCAGTCTGGACTCATTGCCTCAGGTCTCACATGCTTTACCCAATTTGGAGTACCTGTCCCTACCGACAGACGACGTGTGGGAACTCTGCCTGAGGGGGGCGCTGTGCCACCCCAAGTCAAATCACCACTACTGCATAATGGGCCACCCCTTAAGCTGGACATCTACCATAGCTGCTGTGGTTTTCTACCAGATAAAATAATACAAAATAATAAAATAAACAGCAATGTCCCCAGTACAAACCAGCAGGAAAATAGATCTTTTGAAAACTTGAAAGTTGCACAGAAATAAAGTAGTGTGTTTGTTTTTTTTCATGAAGAATCAACATTGATTCACTCTATAAAGGAAAGCATCCTACTGTAATGTATTGAACTCCATTGGGGTCTAAGATGACTTAAAAATGCCCATCATTACTTAGGTGACTGATTCTGTCCAAGTAGGAAAGTGTGGTACAGTGGTCTTTTCTTTCTGCTGTGGTCAGTCAGGTAACGCTGCACGGTCATGGTCAGCATGTCGTCTCTAAACAGTTACCAACCACCATAAAGACTGCAGCCACTGACAGTACTGACAACAGAGGCGTGGCAGTGAGTGAAATCCACCTTCCTGTTCGCAGAACAAGTAAATTTCAGGTACTGTATTCCTTAAACGGCCTCTGTATGTTACAACGCATGCTGCCTCTTTGTATTACATTATACAATGAGACCAAGGGCATGCGACTCTAAAAGACATAAAGGCGCAGACAGTACGTTCATTTTAAATTCTTTCATTAAAGTGCTCGCATTATTTCTATGGTTCAAAATTCGATATACGTATTCATCAGTATCACTTATTTGAACGAAATTCATCGCAAATACCTGGGATTATTGTGTAATCCTGTGAGTCATATCTTCACTACAAAAAGTTTTATGTTGTACCATCAAGGCGTGAATTACCCTGAGTACTGTTTTACGTGCATAGCGCCTCCTAGTGCTAAGATAGCATAATTACAGTATCCCCAGTGAGCCATTTAATAGCTTAAGGCTTAAGCAATTTACACCTCGGCATCGGAGATGCTGGGTTGGTTAAATCAATAAATAAACAAACAAACAAACAAACAAACAATTGAAAACCAGAAAGTGAAAAATAAGTCATTACAAGTAAAAGAAACTGCACGCATGAACTTGTGCTTCACGATCGCTTGACTGTTAAACTACGCTATTTTTTTTAAATTAATTAATGACATGAGTAATTAATGACAAGGCAGACCCCCACACGGTTCTTTGAATTCAGTATTAAATCTTATAATAACATTTAAATTATGGCCTTAATTGTGGCTAATCTGACCATGTCTATGAAGTTTAGATGCCTGTGGTCCATAAGGAGTTACGGTATTATCTGTTTCATGAGTACCTGACAGCACTGGGAACGGATTTTGGGATTTGTAGGAGGATGCAAAATGTATGGTTTAGGTCTTACTGTCATAGTGAAACATGTCCGGCCGAAACTGAATTACCGACCGTTGCTAAAACAGAGCGTGTCTGCGTTGCGTTGGAAAATATCATACGATAATCGCCTGCAGTACATTCTTAAGAACTAAAGGAAGTCGAGTGACTAAGTTGAATTATTAACCACTTTCTGTTAAAATTCAGTTTAAGTTAAAATAAATGCTGAAACTTGGGGTAAACAATTTTACTTCTCATTCAAACATCAGTTTGACACATTTATTAAAATGCTACGGCAAAAAGAATACATTTTACGACACTGTGTTTAAAATGCAAATAAATGGTTAAGAATAGGCATGTCTACGAGAATAACTTGAACATGACGCAAACGGCCAAGACGACCGTTTAAGAAATATTTGAGAAGAGCGGCAGCTCCGTGGCAAAACAATGTTCGATCCAAATAGGCGATGGGTTTCTTTCTCTAGCAGAACATAATTCATCCAAGCTTACCTTGTTACACTATAACCACCTAGGGAAAGTGATCACAGTTCTACTTAACAGACAGTTTTGCACAAATAAGTGAAGTTCTTGAGTTTAGTTAGGACAGCCACACTTCTGTTCATATATATATACAAGAGATTCACTGCTCTCTGTACAAGTCGCACTTACCTGGTAATCATGGTTATTATTTTAACAAAACAGAAATTCGACGTGGCCCGCAACCGCAGCGATCATGCCGTCCTTAAAACTTTCAAGTGTCACGTCTTGTCGTTCGCAGCGAGATAAGGAGACTCGGAGTCGCTTTTCTCTACTCTCCTTCGGGCTGAAAGTGGGCAGTATTGGTCATCTAAAGCAACAGCATCATTAAAAGCAGAAGTAGTCAGACAGTCGCTCGGATGATCGCACGCCTCCTCTCAGTCTTTTGTTGTCCTTTGCTGCGTGAGTTTGCGGAGTAGATGTCCCGCTTTTACTTGCAGGCGCTTTGCGATCCTCGGCGCATTGCTGGCAGTGCGCACACGCGGCTCTGCTGTCATCGTCTCCAGGGGCGGGTAATCACTTACTCTTTAGTTCATTCTCTTTTAAGTCCCGGTTGTAGACACCTGCTGTGTAGCGGGCGACGGCGCCAAAAGCTAGTGCATCGTTTTATGAACATACTCGATTGTAATGTGTGAAATCCTGTCCGTATTTAACAGCTGCTGTGAATTCCTAAGCTATAATTATTGTTTTCGTCCGTTTAAAGTTCCCGTCTATTACTGCAATACATAGATTAAAAAAACATATTTATGAAATGTAATTAAGCATAGTATCAAACTTCGAAAAATTATAGGTCTACCTGCACGTTATGTACGTCTATGACATTTTGGAATTTGCAGTGCATTAATGTCGATGATATAATGGCCGATAATAGATTAATGATTGACTATAATGTTAGATTAATTATTAGACATGACATATTTACTTAACTGTATGCGCTGTTATCGTTCAAAATAGTTGGAGTTAGTACAACTGACCACTTTGGCACAAAAACTGAAGCAGGGATATGAACTAACAACCTTCTGGGCAAATATCCATCTCCTTAAATTGGTTCTTTATGCAAAGCTACGTCCGTAACACAAAGCAAAATCGACAGGAACGGCACGCTTATATGACAACATTTTTGCACGAACGATTTAATTGTAGCCGTGCTAAATCTAACGTTGTTGAAGCTACGGTTCCAAGTGGGTTTGTTAATAGAATTAAACCTGCAACGTTTTGGAATAGCCTACCACAAGAACGAGAACCGCATGCTACTGTAAGGACTTAACTGTTGATGTATAGTGTTGCAGGACATCGTGTTTACCTGAGGGAATGTATTGTGTGGTAATACGTTACGGATTATGCATTTAGTATTTGTACCAAGAAACATTTGCGTTTGTGAGCATAGAACTGGTAGAAAACTGGACATTGCCAACAAACGAAAAACAGATGAATCACCGGAATTGTTAGTGAAGGGAATTTGTTACTAAAACAGGTAACGCCACATGATCAGTGTCCGCATGTCGTCACAAAACATTAAATCACAAATCAATCTGTTTACACAGTGTTTTCCTTTCTTCAATAAAATATTCATCCACTGATTTGTAATTCTTGACCGATGGCCCTTAGACTATTGGTGATGCCTGTGCGGTCACCCGAAGCCAGCCGTAAGGCAGAGGATTCCCTAGACACCAAACCAGCCCAGGTAGTAAGAACATCATGTCAAAGTTGTATGTTGCATTAGCGCGTAAATAATATTGACAGAAATGTCAATTTTCTTGAATCGACTTAAACAAAAGTTCGGATAATCTGAAAAAGATCTTTCTGCAATGGGTAATAAAATTAACATGGTAGTAGAATATCTTTTGTTTATTGAATGGAAACCAGCTGCCTGGAAACGGCTTATGTTATTGTGAAGGTACTGCACTGATGATTTCGGTATTTTTACGTGCTTCGCTGGAGTTGAACAATACCATATTTGTATCTGGGGCAGGAAAACCCCCAGAAGGCACTAGATCGTGAGAGCATAAGTCTCAGTTTGCCTGGTCAAGATCCTTGGAGACATCCTGCTAGTGTGTGCTGGAAAAAAACACACTTCGGGTGCATTGCTCCTGTAAAAAAAATCGAGCTGTAAAATCGGTTAAGTCGTTGCCTGTCACTTCATATCAACGCAACCCTCGTAAAAACGAACGTATTGCTGCGACGTCGTTACGAGGTACCCTGTGCAGGTGAGGTGTTGGCTGTTGGGACAGTTGCGGATATAAAGGTAAACCTAGTACTGAGATCAGCTGGTCTCACTGGTTCCACGGGTGGGTGAAAGAGCGACCATTACGCACCTGAACATGGCAACATACTAGATTGGTAATGGACTAGTGCGATCATGTGTTTAGTTCATGGCGAATCTGCAATGGATGGATGGATGGATGCTTTTTGGAATCTATATTTGCCAAAATGAATTGCAAGAGTGATGATTAAAGGTGATTCAAGAACTGAAGATCTTTTTTTCGTTTAGTGACATGCGAAGAAAAGCTTTCAAAAAATGAGCAGAACCAAACGAAAGAACAAAAATGTCAAATTAACCAAGGTTCGAATCCGATACGAAAATGAATGCTAGAAGATCTTTCCTCTCGGTGTACAATTGTTGGTTTAATTTAGAAACCTCAGACGTGTTTGACTCAAACCAAAAATGTTCAGTGAAACTCAACAAATTACACATAAATGGGGAAAAAAGCAACATTTAACGAGTAACGTCTGAGAGGCCGTAAAATACATTGTTATGAAGTGTACGCGCCAAGCGGCTGATTTTGGTTGCCTCGTATTTATTGGGGATCTTGTGCCCCGTTAATTCCTCTGCTTGTTTAGTGCGGGCGGTATATCTCCGTTAGAGCGCTTAAGATCGTAATGTTTACGAGAAAGGAGATAAATTCCTTAAAGGGCAGAGTTTTATTTATTTATTTATTTTTTTACGGAATGGCAGTGATGTTTGCTTGTGGTGAGAACAGATGTCATGAATTACACCGACTGCAGAAATGGACGAGGGGGTGTTTCTGAGTCCTGGTATCAATTTCAAACCTCCGGTGGGTCCTCTTGTGCCGAAAACTTTTCCTCTGAGTGTCTTGGGATGAAAGAAATCGTGACAGAAAGGGTTTCCTCAGGCGCCCACTGAGAACTATTCTATTCTTTTAATGTGTATACGAAGAGGTGAAAGCGCTTGGGAAAGATTATTTTATTTGTTGTGTCTTGAGACAGGAAGGAACTTTTTTTTTTTTTTCAAAGTCCAGTTTTCCCTCTGCTTCTCTGGGGAATTTCTTTATAGGTTTAAGTGTAATGTTTTCGAAAACCATATTTTTATTGCTGGAATGCATCTTGCTCTGAGAAATAACCTGGCATCTTGCATCGCCGTGTTTTCATTGGACAGGTTTTAGTTTGTAGTCAGGAGAAACGGAACAATCCGCCTGCTTTATGGGTGAGACTTGAACTGTCCCGAAATTTGTAAGGGTCGTCTCGAGGAAAGCCAGACTGTTATGGATATATTCACTCTTTGAAATTGTGTAGGCTCGTGTTGGCAACAGGATAAAGTACTGAAAATCACAAAGAACTGTGAGAAAAGTACAACAGCATAACTTTAATCGATCACTACAAGAGGACTGAATGTATTCCGAATTGATTAACCTTGTCACCCAAAGTTTATTCTGACCTGTACATTGTCAGAAAAAAAGTACCAAGTTGTATCTTTGAAGGTACAATTACTTGTGCCTGGGGCTGTACCTTCAAGGGCCTGTGGACTGTATCCTAACTGTAGGTACCTTTTAGTGTAATATAAAGTACTCTGGTAAACTACTCTGATGCACATTTTGTACCATTGGGGGTACATTAATGTTGTTTGTACCTTGAGGAACAAAACTGTACCCTTTTTTCAGACAGCGTACCTTAGTAATCCTTTACTGCACGTTGGGATCATTTCAATCCAATTCCTTTAGGTCTCAGTCCTACAGCCAGCTCACTCCATAACCCTAACCCTCCATCCCCTTCCTCCACAGCCCATGTTCTGTCGAGAGCCACCCGCTCGCTGCGGGCTATGCCGGGGGAGCTGTTTGTACAGAGCAGGCCCTGCGCCCAGGTTGGTATGACGACCACATTGTTTACCCTGCGGTGGTATGGTAAGGTAGTGGCGTGTGCCTGGAAACCGGGCGTAGAAACTCTGCCTTTGAAGGCGGGCAGAGGGGTCCCAGTCTATGTGCCCAGCTCTGAAGCTGCTCACAATGACAGCCTGTAGCTGCAGGATATAATCATGATGAAATTAAGCATAATTACGTAGCTCCGCATGCCAGTAAAGCCCTCCTTAAATCAATACTCTATCCCTGCTAAACGAATTTATTTTTTATAGGTCTGCATGTGATTCTGTATGCCTGTGTTGTTTTTCCATATTCACACTGTTCAGAGCCGCAAAGATTCACCAGTCATGCTCAGATATACAGAAACAAAGAGCCGCTGGGGGAAAAACACGAATGTCATAAATGGGGCCATTTGCTGCAGATGGTGCGAAGCACAGAGGTGGTAGCTGGGGGTAAAGTGATGTGACAGAGAATGATTAAGTCAGGTAAGGCAGTCTTAAGTGCAGTTTCCCGGGAATTATGTTAAGTGGTTAGTTTGAACAAACATACAGTGTAATTGTCCTTTTATACTGTACCCACAATGGCTGAAATATGTATCATTTTTGCTTTTAATGAGCCCCTTGCTGATGTGGCTAACTGTCAGAAGAGTCAGTTGGGTCATGTGACCCCAACATTCCAAATTATTTGTATATCTGGTGGCGACACGATTTCTCTGTGATTACCTTATTACGACCCACCCCCGGAGCCCAGGAGCCAGGCAGGCTGCGGTGAGTCAGCGGGGCGAGTCACCGGGATGTTAGGCTCTGTGGGGGTGGGGGGAGTGGTGGGATAGGAGGTTCAGAGTCTCCATTGCCTGATCATGTTTTTTTTTTTTTTTTTTTTTGGGGGGGGGGGGGGGGGTAACAGGGGGCTTGGATCAAAGGTGTTGGATTTGAAATACATCCTGACCATTTAATTTTAACAGCAAATGTGTCAGGGACTGAACTAAGTGCCGTCGTGCATTAAGAGGAAAAATATCATGTATAAATAAGAAACTGGGAAGAGAGAGAGAGCACTAGGCTCCAGTAAACGCACTGGTATGGTCCTGTCCTGAGGGGAAGGTTGGCAGCGAGTCTGCACAACACAAAGGTGCTGATGAATCAGCCCAAGCAGAGGCGAGTCAGAAACCTCCCGTGGTCCAGTGTGCCGAAGAGCAAGAGTGGCTCTGCCCGGAGACTTTACTCAGACTGCATTTCAGGCACTAGTCAAGCAACTTACATGTTTAATGAAACTGGTGAGACAGAATTAATATTTGATATCATATAGTTCAAAATACAGGCGGCTCAGCGAGGACCGATGCTGTTTCACACCTCCGGGGTTGGGGTTTTGAATCAGGCACTGCTGTGTGTGTGTGTGTGTGTGTGTGTTTGCATAGATCACATTTGGGTACCAAAATGTCCCCAAAGTGCGGTAAAACCTGACACTTGCTTTCTTTTGGGGACATTTTTCAGGTCCCCATTTGGATAAGCTCAATTTTATAAAAAATCTGTGACAGCAATCAAAAAAGTAAAAATGATGCCAATGACACCAAAAATCTTGTATTTTGATTAGTTACCGGTGGTTAAGGTTCAGGCTAAGTAGGGGTTAAGGGTGTCGTGATTGGGATTAGGGTTTTTCCCACAGAAATGAATGGATGGTCCCCATTTAAATAGGTACGCCAATGTGTGTTAGAGGAAGACGTTTACTTAGACCCTTCTCTGCTTTGGCACCTAAGTGGTGGAATGAACTTCCCCTAGATGTTCGAACAGCTGAGTCACTGGGTGCCTTCAAACAACAACTAAACACCTTCCTCTTTCGGAGGGACTTGGATTAGCACTTCTAGGATTATACTCTTCTTAAAAAAATGTATTACTTGACAACAGAATTTTTTAGAGTGATAGTATTCTTAACTGGGTTCTATTGAACCAGTACCAGAATGTATTCACTGATGAGACTTTTAAACACTTATGTAAATTGCTCTGGCTAAGTCTGCCATATACTGTAAATATAAATGTGTGTGTGTGTGTGGAGTTTACATTCTTAATTTGTCATGAATTGGTCAACTGGTGCCTCTAAATTGTCCAGTTTGTGTGTGACCTGTGATTCAGAGGTCTCCCATCCAGGGTATTCCCCTGCCTTGTGCTTTAACTTTTCCCTAAGATCAATACAAGGCTTTCAGCCTGTGATTGGGTTGTCTGAAGACATGTTGGAAAGTGCAGGACAACGTATTGGCAAATATCAAAATCAACTATAGTTCATGTCCTGATACAGTAAAAACTATACAAAAGAACTGAATTGGAATGATGCATTGCAGGCCAGAGACATTTAAACGAAGTCCTACTTTTTAAAGAACAACTGTAAGAGCCATTGTAACAGGTGGTTAAGAAATAGTCAAATGTTTTCAACTTTAACACTAAACATGCTGTAAAAGTGTCTTGTTCAAGTTCCTTAAGCATGATAAATTTGCTTGCAGAACAAAAACCCCGAAAGATATATGTCAAGTCCTTAACAATAAACATTACGTGGAAAAAGTACTCTTTGGTGTGTGGCGACCTCTGGTGGAGATATATGATATATATTGTTGACATTTTGTTGCTTTAAACACTAACAGCAGTGTACATGTTCCATTTAATATGAATGGTTAATATACAAGATAATTAACAACAATTCGTTCATCTTCCAACCATTTATCACGGTCAGGGTGTCGGGGGCGTGGAGCCTATCTCAGGCAGCACAGGGTGCAGTGCTGATGTACGCCTTGGACGGGATAGCAGCCCATCGCAGGGAATATAAATGCGCACGTTCACGTTCATAAATGATGGGCAATTTGGTAGGTGTTCGGCTCAAATGCCAGTCTTTGAATCGCGGGAGGAAGCGAGGGAAATGCGTTCCCCACCGGAATGAAAATACTCTTCACAAACGTATAGTGGAAGTGGAACAGTACAAAAATGCAAATTTTAACTTAATAACACATTGACGTTGAACAAATCCGTACATTTTCCGTGCTTATATCACTTTTTAGTTTAAATTACACTTATCCTATGAACGATACATTTTATTATATATATTTTTTTCATATAATACGTTAGGATTTTGCTGTACAAGCTCTGGGTGTAACAGAGCCACAAATCAGTCCCCTGAAATTCACGTCTGTCTGTCGACACGCCCAGATCACCCTTTAAATAGAACATGTACATAACGTAAGGAAAATCTTCCGTCTGATTTTTAAAAATAATTGCATGGTGTAAAGATCAAAATATTCTTAAAAAAATAGACCTATCTACACCCGCACTGAATAACCATACATATTAAAGCAAAATCAACATGTGCAAAAGCATGCATTTCATTTGTATGTTTAGTTAATAGAATTTCTCCACCACTATTGTCTAAATTAAATAAGCCTATAATATAATCATTACAGTAAATTTGCGGCCAGTGTTTGTAGTCGCACCAGCAGCGCGCAGCGCCGCGTGCTGCCGGACGCGCCTGCTCAGTGAACGCCGCTCGCGCCGTTTCTCCTTCCCGTAGACCTTGTCCTCTACCGTGTGACGCAAAAGGAGGCGCTGCCTTTGCGGGACAAAAGCGGTAAGATCGCTGGCTATCCGGCTAAGTCTGACTGTGGGGAAAAATGTTTTTTAAAAAGAAGATTCTCCTCTTAAAGCGCAGATTATTTCTTGAGCGTGTTCCTGGACACTTTAGCTTTGAATTCTGCAATCTTAGGTGCAATAACAGGCCCGGCGTAATTGAATGTACCTATATCAGTAAATGTTTAAGCGGTTTATGTATTTTGGTACCATTTATTTCTCAATCCCATGACTGGTTTGGTGATTTTTTTGAGGCTTATTGCACCTCCGATCGTCCAAGCCCAATGACATGACCATGTGGAGATAACTGGTCTTGTTCTCGGCGAGATTAAACTGTGGATGCGATTAACTAAAACTATAAATAGCAGATGTCCGTAGAATTAGAATGTGCAGTAGCGAAACTTGTCCTTTTATGATCTGAATGTGCAATTTCAAAACAAGCTGGCGACGATGGCATTGAGATTAAAATATATAGTAGCCATAATTGTGAAATATATTCGTTCTTATAACGCACTTGTACTGGCTGTTTCTGCACATCGTGTTGAATTTTCGTGTTTGTCTTACCAAGGTCCTCCGGATTATTTCTGGCAAGATAATGTCTCTGTATCTTAATAAACCCAGTGTATAGTCGTTTAATGTAATTGAACTGTACCTCTGCCGAAGTCCTGCAAATTCATTCGTTTGCAGGTGATTTAGGCCTGAAACGCGATGCCGATCGAGTGACTGTGAGGTTAAACGACTGACTGATGGACGTGGTTGAATGAAAATTAAACAGGCCAGCATCGGTACAGGTTACGGATATTGATCCTTATGTGTCCCGGAATTTTGTGGCAGTGAAAGCCTTTAATTAACATCCGTTAATGGCCAAAATAAAAGGGACTGGATTATTACATCTCCGCGGTTTGAAGTAGTACACAGTGTTAAAGGAATTGGTTTGCCTGTCGCAGACACTGCGGAATACAGGACTTCCTTAAGGAGAAAACTTTGCTCACCAACTGCGAAGCCCGGAGCTTTATTCTAAGAGGCTTAACTAGAAGCAATTGAGGTTGATTTAATTTTCCTTCCATAAATTGTCTGATTGATCACCCTGTTGTCATTTGCAAGTCGATTTGACCTCACACCCAAGTCATAAGTAACACGTCAGAAGATGAGCTGAGGTCTGGCACAAACCATCCCGTTCCACGGCACTGCTGGACCAGAGACTAGTAGCCATAAAATAGGAAACTGGCATTCTTGATTTTCTTGATCTTGGCAGCAATATTGAGCCTTGAGGTGTTGTCTCGTAAGCACTATAATAGTGCCTGGTTCTTAGAATATAACATCTTTGTATGGGTGGTAACTTGTGGCATAACTTAAGACAGATGTTGAAGGTCAAGGATTTGAGGGTGTTTAATTGTAGTACTCAATGAGAGTAACTTAACAGGCCAGCAACCCATAAACTATTCACATCACCGCATGTCAGGTGGACGCTTACTCAGACAGTGTAGTTTGGCCATATTTGTGACGTGGCCCGTTCAGTTTTGTTATCTGCTATGGGTGGGGACAGAGGTGACACGGATAGGGCGGAAACCCACCGTCATTATGAGGCGCGGATTTCAGCAGGGGCACCGGAACATGGTGGCATTCCTGTAACATGCGCCATGATGAAATATGGCTAGACTGCTAAACTACTCAGGAGGACTCAATATATTCTTAATATATCCTGACTCTTTCTTTCGGACTGTGGCCTCTTTTTGTCTCGATGTCAGAAATAGAGACCGTTTTTCAGGAAAAAGAAGGAATATTGCATTTTTTTCCCCCAGAGCCAGATACTGATCCCCCCGACCTGTCCTGTCACAGACATCATGGCTGTCCCCCCCTCATACTCTGACCTGGGCAAATCTGCCAAGGATGTCTTCAGCAAGGGCTATGGTAAGTAACCAACATCACAGCGGCGCTGAGCCGGTTTGCGCAGAAAAAGTGGTGCAGCGGATGCAGCGTTTCGCAGGCTGCGATCGAAAGCCTGGCGTGCATCAGGTTTTGTTTGCGATAATGCGTCCGGATTTATTGCCCTTAATAGCGACCTGTTGCCGTCTGTGTTTATAATCTTGAAATCTTGTGCGATGATACGGCTGCTTCTCTGTGTTGCCGGCCAGCTTGATTTCCCCTTCAGCTGCTTGACCTGTTGTTCATCCACTGCCGGTGCGTGTGGTGGACATGCGGGTTAGCGGCCCCGCAGAAACATTGACCAGTCAGGGTCTTAAATTGTGACCAGTTTGATATGACAGTGGGTGACGATTCCCAGTGATCAGCAACGAGTGCAAGGCAGCGTTTTTGACTGGTCTGTCATCCAAAACTAGTCTAATTAATCCAGGATTCTAGTCTAAATCGAAGGTTTAACAGGATGGCCTGCAGGCATCTAGCCGCTGAATATCAAACGTTGCGTATGACTCTACTAGACATGCAAAGGTCTCCATTGCTTGTTTATGATGGAGATATGGACACTGCACTCTCTTGTGTTCCATTCTGGTTTACGTGCGTAACGTAACTCATTGCACTGTTCTTGTTTTTTCGTCTCCTCCATACTCCATCTCTCCCCCAGGATTTGGGCTCGTGAAGCTGGACCTGAAGACCAAGTCGGAGAGTGGGGTCGTAAGTCATTCTGCAGTACTTCCCTCGAGTCTGACTAACCTTTACTTACAGACAAACCACCCTTTCTGAACTCATTAGGCTGTGATGGACGTTTTTCACGTTTTAGATGAACAAACAAAAAACTATTATCTTTGAGTCTATGTTCAGACATACAAAGGAAAATTCATTGTGATAAAAACTTGCTGCGTAAATCGTACCATAGAAACGGTTTCTCCTTTTTTTAAGACGATGCTAAGTGTTCTTTAAATGCAAAATTAACGGCATTGAAAACTATAAAAGCTACTGCAAGAAACACAAGATTCCACAGTCACTGGGACAGCTAACATGTGAGGCTGGGTTCTGACATCAAAGATAGTACGTATGTACACTAACAAACGTTATGTATTACTAATATTTATATATGATATGAATTTATGTGATCCAAATCATTTTAAGTATTGTTATATTTTTGGCTTTAGCAAGTTCCACAAATATTCCGGTTTAATGGTTCACAGCCATCCTGTGAATAACCAACACCGCGAATGTCAAATCTGAGAATCAGGAGGGGCAAATGTCGTTAGTTTGATTATGAGTATCGTGGGCACCGTGTAACTCTGAAACTTCGTAAGCTTTGAATTTCTGGAACTTCCGTTTTGCTCTTGGTCAGTGGGGTTACTGGTCACACTGGGGTGTATCTGACACTTTGGTTGCCCCTGTAGTAAAATGGTTAAATCTTCCCCATCCATTGGCCTGGTCCAGCATCCTCTGTTCCTCAGTCTTATGTGGGCTGAATTTGAGGGCTGCAGACATTTTGAACAGGGAAGCTTGATTGCAGATTACGCCCCCCCCCACAGTTTCCCTGTGGGAAATCAACACGCCTTCTCCATTCTCTGTGATGTCCATCTCTACCTCTGATTTCGGTTTTTCATTCAGTTTAATTGCAGTGGAAGTTAATGTTTGTTTTTCCAAAGCAATTTGCATTAATTATTAACGATAAAAGAATTAACATTCTGCTTTATTAGTTTCTCGCTTTATACCTCTCTGTTTGTGTCTCTGTCTGTCTCTAGCAACAGGGATTCTTTTCCTGAGAAAATTGGAAATTTAACTAAAGCAGACTGATGTTAGTGTGCCAGAGGAGTTCGTTTCTGTGTGTGGAAAGCCTGTCACGTGCTTCACCTCAGCGGTACCTCACACTGACTGATAGGCTTGCGAGTCGTCTTAAAACACAGTTTGTTTTCACCCTGCATTTTTTTGGCATATTTGTGCACCTTCGCGGTATAATGATGTGAGAGTGTGTCAATTTCTTTAACTTTTGACTTGTCTTCCTGTCCTGCTTCCATTCTGGATCGTGATGTCAGATGGTAAGTGTGAGTGACTGAGTGAGTGTCAGAGTAAGTGATTGAGTGAGAGAATGATCATGTGAGTGAATGAGCGAGTGTTTGAATGATTGAATGAGTGAGTGTGTGAATGAGTGAGTGTCAGATCAAATGATTGAGTGAAAGAATGACTGAGTGTGAGTGAATGGGTGTGTGAATGATTGAATGAGTGAGCGAATGAAAGTGTTTGAATGAGTGAGTGAATGATTAAATGAGTAAGTGAAAGTGTATTTGTTTGCTGAAGCCTGCCTCTTCTTCTTAGAAGGGGGGGGGGTGGAATTCAATCTGCACAACACAGTGACTTATTTTGGAAATGAAAACAGGAAGGAAAAACAGTTGTTTTTATACTCTTTCTCTCCTTCATTCTCTTTTCTACCCCTTTGTTCTCTTCCTTTTTCTCTCTCCTTGTCTCTCACTCTCTCGCTGCCTGCCTCTTTCTGCCTTTCCCACAATGCAGTGTTGTAGCTGTAGCTATGCTCACCAGGGCTATATTCACTCCTAATTTCTTTTGTCTCTTGTCTCTTGCCCCCCTCCTCACTGCCCTCCTCTTTTACCTCCTTCTCCTCTGTTTCACTCTTCCATTGTTGCCTCCTGACCTTGTCTCTACTCTTGCTTGCGCTTCACTTGAACCCCGCTGCATCGCGCAATCTCTCTCTTTTTCTACCTCTCCCCCACCCCCCTTGGGTCTCTGTGTCTAAGGAGTTCATTACCTCTGGATCCAGTAGCGTAGACACTGGCAAGGCCACTGGAAACCTGGAAACCAAGTACAAATTGCCTGACTTGGGGCTCAGCTTCAGCCAGAAGTGGAACACGGACAATACCCTGACCAGCGAGGTTACCCTGGAGGACCAGGTGAGTTAGCCAGCCGGAACCTACACTCCCTTTAATTCACTGAGGTTGGGAGTAGTGTCTGGCTGCTGGTGCCGCTCTCAGGCCCACCACTCTCAGGCCCACCACTCTCAGGCCCACCGCTCTCAGGCCCACCGCTCTCAGGCCCACCACTCTCAGGCCCACCACTCTCAGGCCCACCGCTCTCAGGCCCACCACTCTCAGGCCCACCACTCTCAGGCCCACCACTCTCAGGCCCGCC